TATACGTTTATAATATAATCTTTAGCATCGTTATAGAAGCTCGTTGTACATTTTCATCTTGATATATAAAAATGCTCGCAGGTTTGATCTGTGTTGTCACTTCTGCTTGTTAGTAGAAACACTGACAGGAACAGCACTCTGCAAATCATACGCTATCACATCGGACACAAACAGGCGAATAGAAGGTATGATGTGATGGTTATAGCATTTGACTGATGATAAGCTATCCAATATATTCTACTCCCATTTAAACCATTATATATATAAGCGGGGAGTTTTAATTTGAACACTTCGACAAAGGCAGCAAAGATGTATTGTACCTTTATAGCGCATCAACGCTTGCGCGGGACGTTTTGCATTATACCGTACAACCATATTAAAGATGCACTGAGCGTATTGGGTATTATTTTCTTTCTCTGATGTCTGCTGTCATGTGTAAAAGCTCCTACGAACACTTTGTGCTTTGATTGTAATATTGTACAGTGTGTTCACTTTTCAAACGTATTTTACAGTGTACGGTGTCCAACTGTGAAGTGTGCAGTGTACACTACACCATCAATGTGCCATCAATGTGCATTTGGGATCTCACTGGAAAACAATGAGTCAAGACTGATAAAAAGATGTACAACTGTTCATTGTAAAAGTCCATAATCCAATAGTATTATCGAAATTTGTATTTATTGTCTTCTGGAGTAGTTAAAGTCAAAGAAGAGTAAAGGTAATAGTGTCCTTCGGACAATAGTCCGATCACTCGAATGACGAGTCTGAAATCTCGATTGACGATCAATCAGGCTTTACATACATACAACACATATTTTAACTTTATAGTTTATTTCTTCTCTGTAGTAGATACTAGAGAGAGAGAGAGAGAGAGAGCCCTGGTCTCTGCCCTGTTTTAGAAAAAAATTCATTGATACCATAACATATGTAAAAAGTAAAAACTATAAAAAACAAACAAAAATGTTTCAAGCCTGTTTCAAAGTTTCATAAGGTCATTGAAAAAATAAAAGAGTTTGAAAATTATTGACAATTGTCGATTTGACATTGGTATTTTTTAACGAAAATATTTGTGGAGCAGTGAAGTTGTCAGTTGTCAGTTGTCAGAAATATCGGTTGTGACTGCACACTGCACACTGCACAATGCAGTAGCGAGAAGTGCACAGCCCTGGACTCCTGGGACACCGGAGTCTGGGTCTCTGGCCCTTGGACTCTGTCTCTGTCACTGTGGATTCCTGGTCCGCATTGCTGTTCTTTTTTTGTCGCATGTCCGTTCGCCTTCGGCGTTCCACGATCGGTCCACGCTCTCTATTTATTTATTTACGTCCTGGTCGTGACGGTCCAGCGTCCTTATCAATGATCAACATATGGGGAAACTAGCCCGTTTGTATTGAATCAGCTCCATTCATCTCCCGCTACGTTGAAAATTCTCCTAGCCGGGCTGTAGCCACACCGTATTCCTCGTTAATCCATTCGTCGAACATTCTAATAAAAAATCGTGGCTATTGTCAAAATATTACGAACCTCCTAGAGGGTCTCTTTAATGTATATCTTCGGTTGTTTTTAAACCTATTTTCGAGTTTCGTATTTATTTTTCTACAAGTCTTGAACGATCATCGGCTTGACTGCCACACAAAGCCAAGATTCTGTGTAAAGGCCAGCTCGATGGTCGAAAAACAGGCTTACCAGATTACAAGTATCACGTGATAGAATATGCACTTTTGCCAAAGGATTCACAAATATAGAAAGATAACACTCAAATATATGTGGTCACGTGCGTCTCCGCCATGTATATAGTATCCGTGTCAATATACTTGTGTGGCTTCACATGCAAATATATCACCGTATGAGAATATATGAAATGCCGGGTACACAAATAACATGTAGTATAAAATATTTTATTTGCAGATTAATTATTTTATTTGCAGATTAATTGTCTTCAGAGCTTCAATTAATCAAATGGACACACTCATTTTATATCGTGCGCAGCTAACTAGTGAAATATACGATGAGCTGAATGCTTTATACGTGGATATTCGTGATAGTTTCAACCTGATCAAACACCAACCATAGTGCAACCCGAAAGCAACAGCTGCCGGTAGAAAGCCTGTCTATTCGATAATGGTGACCCTGTGGCGAAACAATTGTATACTATATAAACTAAATGTCAAATTTAGAAGGCTATGTAAATGTGGATATGTATGAAACAAACCGCATGTGATATGTAACACGCTCTTATTGATGCCTAATTAAAAGCAGTCAATTTACTCTGACAAATATGGAGACTGTGATCGGATATAATACACGGCGTGCTTCTGCGCGCTATAGGCTACCAGAAAGTAATTTTTCAGTTAGAAGGGGTATCAATTTCTTGTTGGTAGGCAATGCAGCCCCGTCCTCATTAAACTTACGGTCTTACGCACGCTACTTGTAGCTTTGGCAGTATTCATTGGAAGGTGACGGATTGTATAATATTTGTCCCGGTGGAAAAATAATATAAAGGCTGTGTTACTGTGTTCAAAGCCTTCTAAATTTTAAATCAAATAAATACAAGAAGGCTATGCAATGTAGGTCAAAAAACCAAAATAGTGTTTTTGTTTTCTTGTTTTCTAAAAAACAATGTATTTTTTATTTTAAATATGAGGAACAAAAACTGAAAACACAAGAGGCGAAAAACTTGATCCGAAAACAGATGACGACTACATATTTACACAATATGTAGCGTGGGGGAAAGAATACGCACGCCACAACGCCACGCACAGCATAACAGAGATATCAACGCTTCTACAACTCATTCATTTGATACGTCTTAAGTGAGCACAATGGGATCAGGAGATCTGAATTTGAAGAAATCTTGGCATCCCGTACGCCTCGACAATGTGGAGAGGGTTTGGAAGGCTGAGCAAAAGGACAAACACGAAAAGGAGCGCATCGCACAACTCATCAGAGAAAAGGATGAAGAACGACAGCGAGAGGAGCTCGCTAACCAGGCCATTAACGCGGGCCATGGCAAAGCACGTTCTCAAAGATTAGAGTGGATGTATTCGGGAGCTTCGACGACAAATACAACGTCTAATGGGGTAAGTGTTGCACGCTGCAAGGGGAGTAGGTATTGCAACAGCAACACGATTGCAAATACAAACACACACACACACACACACACACACACATATATATATATATA